CCAGGTGCATTCCTCAGCATTCGAGAACCTCAGCAGGCATATTTTGGTACCTTTTATGGATGCATGTCCAGGTGCATTCCTCGGCATTTGAGAACTTCAGCAGGCATATTTCTGTACCTTTTACTATAGAGAGGACGATAAGGCGAACACTACCTTCCTCCCCCGAATACCACATACGGTCGTTGTAGCTGTATGTAGACTGAAAGATACCCCAAACAGCAGGCATATTTCTGTACCCCCTTTTATGGATGCATGTCCAGGTGCATTCCTCAGCATTTTGAGAACCCCAGCAGGCATATTTCTGTACCTTTTACTAGAGAGGACGATAAGCCGAACACTACCTTCTTCCCCCGAATACAACTTACGGTCATTGTAGCTGTATTTAGACTGAAAGATACCCCAAATTCAGCTATAATGACCGTGCATTGTATTCGGCGGAAGACTGTAGGGAGATGCCATCACACACACTCTTTTATACAGCAACCGAAACAAATGAAGAAATGAGCAACATTTTGATCCGAAAGAAACCAATGCAGCTGGGCAAGAGATGTACATCAAAACCGGGAGAAGAGAGCGAGTGGCTTCAGAAAGAACCTCCGGGGAAACCCGATTCATGTGGTTGAACACGGTACACACACATAAGTTCTCGTAAACAGATCATGAGTTTGAATCCCGAAAGAATCAAATTGGTACAAAAAGGTTAGGGCCCCTCCCCTAAGAAAGAAGAAAACAAGAAACAGGGAAAGGACGAAAAGCGCAGATTATCTCTTTGTTTTCGAAACCGAAAAAGAAAACTGTTTCGAGTCAAGGACCAAAAATCTGGCGTTACAATTTATTACACACCTTTTCTGTTTCCGCGATGAACTGCTGCGTTTCCGTATAGACTTCCACAAACTCATGAAGCCGCAGCTTTGGATGCACGAGAGCACGGACGCCGAGCAGCTTAGCCCACCTCCCATGGGCAGCATCACACGCAGCACATACCGCTTCTGTGTTCTCGCGCAAAACATCTGCCCTGCAAATTGCACAGTGAATTAATTAGTCATACAGCCTTTTTTTTGTGTGTGTGCTCTTTCTCCTTTCTTTTTTTTTTGAAAGGAGTAGTGCCTAAGCCTCACTCTATCAAATCTTGTTTTCCCACAATACTAGCTGGTCTTTTCGCTGAAAGGTGCCGAATATCATCAGAGCATTAAATCACCCCGGAGGTCGATGGAAATCTACTGAAGAAGACTTTCAATCGAGAAATGCGGGAGATGATTTTGATAAGAAGGCAGTTAAGATTGCAGTTCACTCGACTCTTTTCCAAGGAGGCATGAGCGCCATGATCCATCAGTATCCAGCCATGGTAACCACAGAGGTCCAGACACCCAGTAACCAATCCAGACAAACAAAAAAACGGACATGAGCCCGGATAGACCTGGACATTCAGATAACCAGACATCAGCCAGATACCCAGACATATCCAGGTCCGGACTGTCCACATGGGGGACCTGGACACAAAACATGTCCTCATCCATTATTAAATAATTAAAAACTCGGAAGGAGAGAGAGAGAGAGAGAGAGAGAGAGAGAGAGAGAGAGAGAGAGAGAGAGAGAGAGAGAGAGAGAGAGAGAGTTCTTCATATCTGGGATGGATCCATAGAAAAGCAGTTCACCTCATTGCTAAACTTCGGAGGAACGTCAAAACCGATTTCCCAAGATAAGTTTCGCGTCTATAGAGATCTTTCAAAACTGTTTCATTAACGTTGTAATATTTTGGAATTCCACTTCTATAAAGCCCTCTCCTGCGCAATGCGGCTGACTTTGTTTTTTTTTTTGTCTTTTAAAGGCCGAGGATGGAATTACAACAGGAATGGGAAACTGAGGCCGGGGTCCTCATTGACACAGATCACCCTCCTCTCGGATTCCACATGACACAATAACATGTCCCCTGTACAAAGCACAGGACGCTATGCTCTGCAAGGGTAGTGCAATCAGACTCGTATTCATTCACACTTTTCATGCATGTAAACAGCAACGCAGCAAACTGGCGACATGCGCCCACTCAAAACTCAGAGATATGGCTTCCAGATACGAGTTCACTTCCAACTGGCTATGGCGACTCAGCGCCCAAACAACTCACTGTTCACACACACCGGATCACCCTGGATATCCCACACGCGTCACTCTGAACACTCGCACATACACACACACACTTCACTCTCACTACAGCTATGGCAGCTATGGCTGCCTCTACCCTATCGCTATGCTAACTCCTCCTCTCTCGTCCTCCGGGCTCACTACAGACCTCCTTGCACAAGTCGCTGTGACAGCACTTCCGCATGGCTCACGCAGGAATGAATACGAGTCTGATTGCATTGGTATCAGAGCGACGCGTGTGGGATATCCAGGGTGATCCGGTGTGTGTGAACAGTGAGTTGTTTGGGCGCTGAGTCGCCATAGCCAGTTGGAAGTGAACTCGTATCTGGAAGCCATATCTCTGAGTTTTGAGTGGGCGCATGTCGCCAGTTTGCTGCGTTGCTGTTTACATGCATGAAAAGTGTGAATGAATACGAGTCTGATTGCATTAGGCACCATACTCCATGCTCCAAGCTTGATCAGGAAACACCCTTCACTCCTCTGATCAGGAAACCCGCTACATGACCGCACAACTGGACTGACGCTCAGCAGAATGGATAAGAAGCCAGAGCCATAAAGCTCTTTCATTCTTTAAAAAAAAAAAAAAAAGAAACTCTGGATACCAAACCAGATCATGCAACAGAGATCTGAACACCTATGGATTCTATACGGAAAACTACATAAAACTCTTACCACAAGCAATCTAAGAGAGAGACACTGGTAATGGCCATACCCAGATGGATAACAACACATAGATACACAGAGAGACACAGACAGAGAGAGAGGGCCAGAGAAAGACACAGAGAGAGAGAGAGAGAGACAGAGAAAGACAGAGGGACAGCAAAGGACAGAGAGAGACAGAGGGTAATGCACCTACCTGAACTGGCGTGACGTGCTCGCAACAGTAATTGCCGCATTCCCAGCACCCGCTCCTGAAGATGAGAATGCCCCTGACTTGGCTAGGGCATTCTCCATCCCCATTGATTTCCCGCTTGCTGAGTCTGGACCAGTGGAGACAAGACCTGACTTGATGGAAGCTGCTTTATTTGTCGAAGCAGCCTCTGCTGCAGCAGCAGTTGCGGCACCAGATGCCACCGCAGCTGCCACAGCTTCGGCCACATAGCTATCGCCAAGACCATCAATAATATGTTCTATTACCATCCGCACTTTTGCAGCACGCGCTAGCCTTGCCTACACACAGACACACACGCATACACGGATAAACAACAAGACGAGAGTCAGACTCAGTCAGTTATACATGTAGTAGAGACAAACATGACTAATAACATAGCACAAGGAACAGGGGTTGAAAGGGGATTTAAAGGGGGAGCGAGGAGCACACAGGTCAAATGTTTATTGATGGCAGGAAGCAGATATGCACAACCGCTAAACCATCTGTTGGTGGGTTTGTGTCCACGCTAGATGCCAGGGTGGTCCTTTGAGGGAACAACAACGACACCTCAGCGCCCCGTCCTCACTTTTCCTGGCTCCTCCTTCCCCTTTGCCTGTCCCGTCTTGAGGTATACTGCTGGCCCCTCCTGCGTGATGTAGTGGTTGGCAGCTACCGTCTTCTCCCGAATAGAACGCCCGATCATTATAGCCGTATACGGACCGGAAATTGCACCAAATACCGCTATAATGACCGGGCGTTCTGTTTGGGTGAAGACGGTGATCCTAGGTGCGGTCCCTCAAACTTCCTGGTGAGGGGACACTCACATTACGACTTTACGTGATGTATAAGACCACAATTGCTGCCAGCCTCGGTCACAGAAGCCATGCTTTGGCATCCCATGAGACTCCGTGTTTCCTTTTTCATCTGCCTGCATATGTGCGGTTGAAGTTTTACTCGCACAACGGCTTTCCTGAATGCACCTGTGCCCCACACCTACGCCCTCAGGTAATTCAGAATGATCTTATTCTGGTCATCTGGTGGTATCTGGATTTGAACTCTGGTCTCCATTTAACAGTTTGTGGGTGTACCAACTGAACTAGGCCCATTGGTAAACAGTCCTAGTTTGAATAAGCCTTCAGACTCCTTTCACCTTTAGCTTCGGGTGGTTTGACGTCATTAGTATGACGGGTAGAGTTCATCCTACCTTTCTGGTTTTTGTGGTCATGTCTTTTGCAAGTGGTCCCCCCTTCCTAAGTATGTCTATGGGTGACCTCATATTTGTCGCTCCGCTGTTCGGCCTCTGTGCAGAGTTCACCCCTTAGTTCATCTATTAGTTGAACCACTGACTTGCAGTGTTTATTCCTGGCAGGGGCACAAGAGACAGAGATCAACGAGGGGTATTCACTGAAACGGGGATCCGGAAATCAACCACCATATCCATCCAGTTCCAAATCTGGATGTCTGTGACAACGCCGCACACACTTTCACAACCGCCTGCCTAAGCCATAGATCTATGTTGATCTTGATAACTCAAGAGAGTTGCCATGCAGGGACGCCATGGAGGGGTGAGGTTGTGGAGGAGGAAAGGTCATGAAAGAGGAGGGAGGTCATGGAGGATGGGAGGTCACGAAGGATGTAGTCGTTCGTAGAGGAGGGAGATTGTGTGGACAAGGAGGGGTAATGGAAGGCCTAAATTTCGGGGTTTTTAGCCGCATCACCACAAGTGAAAGTATTCACTCTGCAGACACCCAGTCCCGGTCCCAGGGTTCCCGACAAGTGCCAAGTCCCAGGGCCGTCCCATAGGGTAGGCCGTAGGGTCTAGAGGCCGAACTGTCGTAGGTTGGTAGGTCTCGGTACCGAAGTGTCGTAGGTCGGTAGGTGTCAGTACCAAAGCGTCGTAGGTCGGTAGGAGTCCGTCCAGTACCCGCAAGAAAAGTCCAGAAGCGTTCAGTCCAGTCCGACGGTCCCAAGTCCAATTTTGCAGCATATCCCAGGAAAGTCCGGAAGCTACCGGACCGACAAAATGTTTGCAGCAGACAGACCACAGCCAACCCGTACCGGTCTGAAGCAAGCCAAGCCAAGCGAAGACAAGTCCTACATTTAGCTGCTACAGTGCAGCGGCTCATCACTTGTTCAGTTGCGAGATGCAGAAGTGCTGCTACTGCTTTGTGCGTTAAAGCAACTTGGGCACTGCGTGCCCGAAGAAGGCAGAGGGCGCTCGCAAGCTACTCCATAGCTAGGTTAGGGGTAAAGCAGGAGGACGGTGGCCACAGCCGCCAAGGTGTAAGCATACCTGAGTGGGTGTATCCAGGGTGACGATCTAGGTTACAGAGAGAGTAAGGCAGAGCGAGCCAAGTCAGAGAGAGAGGCAAGGCGAATAGAGAGGGAGAGAGAGAAGGGAGAGAAGCCATAGCCGCCACCTGATTGTAATCCGTTGTGTGTGTGTGTGTGTGTGTGTGTGTGTGTGTGTGTGTGCGGCAGAGCCGCTGGAGAGGAGCATTCTTGCATATTGATAATAATATTGGAGACGACATCTTCTTCAAGTGTTGATTGTATCTCGATTTGCCTTCTCACGTGTGAACTCTCATGTGAATGTCCATTGACGTATGTGAGGTTGAGCTGACGAGTACTTGCCTCATTTCACAATCTCGTCAAAAACTTCGCAAACAAACCATGCAGGCTTATAATACAAACATCAAAAAAACAATCAGGCAAAAAAAAATGGAAAAAAAAAACTCAAAAGCGCTATAAAACCCTATTCGGAGTAGCTTTCGGAATTCGCCAAATTTTTCTCCGAGTTCAGTGTTTTTGCCAACGTTTTCGTTACTGGTCCAAATCCGTCAAAAGTTCTCGAAACTGAATACAAATGTATACCCTAAAGCACATACATATCACACAAAAAAGAAAACAAGAAAATTTTAAAAAGAAAGCAAAAATTCAGGGAAATGTGGCAGTCTCGGTGAAAAATTCGCCGAAAATGACATCAACTATCAATTTATTAACCATTAGTGCAAGTAGGCCATGAAGGATGGGGGCCGTGAAGTAGGGAGGGACGCTGTGACTAGAGAGGCCAAGCAGCAGTATACATAGAGGCAGAGGCTTCGGGGCAAGATGCCCCATTCATTCTTGGCAGTGTGATGCTGATGCAGCAGGTTCATGCAATCTGAAGGCTGCAACAAGGGATAGCACTATCATCTTCACCCGAAGAGAACACCCGGTCATTATAGCTGTATCTGGACTGAAAATTGCACCAAATACGGCTATAATGACAGGGCATTCTATTTGGGTGAAGTAGGTAGGATACAGGTAAGAGATGAGAGAGCGAGCAAATACACATGGCCACTGAGGTGGGAGGTCGAGAGGTCGAGATGATCACACAGGTTGAAATAGCAACAACATATCATGGCGAACACCCAGGTTGGTTGGCAAGGGCTTAAAGCACCAGTACGTGGGCACCTGGGCCGCGGGCCTGACACCTCAAATTCTGGAAGCGCGAAACAAAAACACAATCGCCGGTCAAATTTGTATACAGCGGGCCCTGTGTTTGCCGTTTCGACCTCGTTTTCTTGTGGCGACAAGTTTCGGACTCCAAGGCTGGGGTCATATGCTAGTGGTTTAAAGCGGGCTTCAAGACAGGAATCTCCGACATTGAGGAGTCACTGGCTAAGCGCTGAGGGACCAGATGAGCAAAAGGTCCCCAGTGTGCGGTTGATGCTCTATGGTTGATGCTTTTATGTGACCAGGCATCTACCTTCCGCGTCTGCCATCCAGTTTCCGCATCAGGATGACCATAGCCACAGATGCTGAGTGGCCAGTCCGTTGCCTGGGAAGTTAGGGGGGGGGGGGAGGGAATTGCCACAACCTCATCCTGATATTCTCTATTATCTCCGACTTCTTGCATCACCGGCTACACCATCAAGTTAAAACAGATCCATAACATTTGAGATCGGAGAAGAAGGGTTGGAGAGGACATTCTAATCCAAGGGTTGGAGACTAACGACAGCAGTAAACTGGCAGCCGTGAAAGCAGACATACTGCTCGTCCCGACATAAGTGCCTCTCCTTTCCATTTGATTTTGTTCGCCTTTGTTCGTGTCTGTGGGTGTCCCTTGCCGTCTGTTTGTGTGCAGTTCTGCAAAAGAAAGAATATCAAAGTAAGAGATCTTGAACTGTAACAACCACTACTAGCTTTTAAATTGTGAAGTTATGCACCCATGGTAGTCACCAATCCAAGGCAGTGGATATTTTTCGGGTTTATGTTAACTCACCTGAACAATTGCAAAAACTGCAGACAGTAAATGCATGAATGCCTCCGGCAAAAGAGATCTTAGTTTGGATGCAAGGGACACGCCAACTGTTTATTTGTTTCCACCAACCAAAATTTGACACGCACCACACAGTGGAACAAGAGCTTATATCAGCGACTCCAATACCTTGACCATTACAAGGTGAGCCCCAGTCAATGTCACATGAACTGATACAACTCCTGAGCAGAACGTGATCAGGTGCACCACCAACGGGGAACATACTCACACTCACGACTTTCATGAATGCATCAGACCATACAACTGGTTAGATTCAGTACAGAACGTCCAAGTTGTGCCCTGCCCCTCTGGCTAAATGGTACACACATGCATGATGCATCTGTTTGAAACAGAAAATGAGTTCGAATCCTCAATCAGATGGATACAAGAATGTTACTCGCTCCTCCTGTATTGGGGGGGGGAAAAGAAGTGTCCTACTCGCTAGTGTGGCCTAAATGGAACACCATGCAATTGCAAATGAAATGACAGTTCACAACCATTCCACTGCTTCTCAAGCTGAAGTGGATGGAATATGCAGATGGAAAACACGACATGCACCGGAACAAAACATAAGGCAAAACCGAGACGAGACGGCCGGGCAAGGATGCCCACATCACTGTCACACTCGCTTCTAAAGAGAGAGGCCGACCTAGATCGTTTCATGTGGATTTCTATCTACATGTTCAATTTCCAGCATGCCCAAAAGGACCCTCCAGACGGATCATTGTCAGACAAGAAAAAGGACTTTTTTCCTGTAAACATTGCTTCGGCCAACAACACTATACTATAAAATCCAGGGTTGCATACCTGCCAACCCCCGACCCCAACCTCCGACCGTTTTGCAGCCGACCAGTAGGGCCGACCGGTCGGTGGTCTACCAACCGGTCAGAAAACAGTCATCCACTGATTTTTTTTTCAAATCTGAGTTAGGGGCTGTACTGCGCTTGCTCAGAACAGCCCAAATCCGCCGAGGAACTTTTGGGGATGGAGGGGGTTATGGGGGAGGTATGGGGGGGTATGGGTATACACATCTAGATGTGTATAAGAGACAGGAGAGAGAGAGAGAGAGAGAGAGAGAGAGAGAGAGAGAGACTGACCTGGGAGTGTTCGGGATAAGTGGCCACGGTAGACGCGGAGGGGGGGGGATAGGTGGCTACGGGAGAAGCGGGCAGAGTGAGGCGGCTTGCAGAGAAGCGGCGCGGCAGCGGAGTACAGCAGCGCGACGGGGGGATAGGTGGCCAACATTTTCAGTTTTTTCTTTTGCAGACCTGTCCAGACATTCGGACCGTCCGGATCCTCCCGTGTCCGGAGGTCCGGAAATTTCCGGAATTCCGGATGTCCGGAAAGTTCCGGAATTCCGGATGTCCGGAAATTTCCGGAATTCCGGACGTCGGGAAGCGACCGGACACGTGTCGGGTTTGATGTCCGGAAATGTCCGGGTCCGGGTCCGGGTCCGACATAGCCATGCTTTCATTTTCTTGCTTTTTTTTTGGCGGGGTGCCGACGACTCCTGACCGGTAGGTGGCCAACCAGCCAACCGGTCAGCTGGTCGGCATCCAACCAGTCAAGGGGCGCCGACCGTCAGGGTATGCAACACTTGTCCTAGGGGGATAAAAAAAGAAAGAAACAACCTCCAGCGCATATTCACTATCCCCAATGTATGGCCACCCCAGTACAAGACATTTGATTAGGAGATTCAACAAGAATGAGTGTAACTTCAAAATTGTATTAACTGCTGCTGTGTCCCCTTGACAAACTAATTGTTCCCAGCAATATTGACGCATTTACAGTTCATTTCACTTTCTGAACATATACCATGGCTACCATGCAGACTTCCGGACGGGCATCCAATCGGTCTGGAGTCCAGTGTCGACGGTAGGAGGGCTTTCCGGTAGGGGCCGAAACCTGAAAATTGAAAAAAAAAGGGGGCACCCTGGACCAGTTCCTTGGGTCCAGGGCGCCCCCCTAAAAATGTTTGATGGACTTTTGGGGCAGGAATCGGCTGCACAGGGCGGCCGGACCGGCCCCTTTTTCAATTCGCTGGCATCACTTCCTAGGCATTCCCGAAGACCGTCGGTGGGTCTACACGTTTTGCATCTCTCCCGCCCACAGCACCTCGACATTTGTCGCCCACCCCTTGTCTGGATTCAGTCGGCAGCACACACACACACACACACACACACACTCTCTCCCCCCAACATCTCAACATTTGCCATCCGCCCCTTGTTTGGATTTGGTCTCCGGCACACACACACACACACACACACACACACACACACACACACACACGCGCGCGCGCACACGGGGAGAGACAGAGAGAGCCCTCGTCACTGAGGATCAGACCGTCAACATCTGCTAGACGTGCGCGGGGGAGAGAGAGAGAGAGAGAGCAAGAGAGCGGGAGAGCAAGAGAGAGAGAGAGAGAGAGAGAGAGAGAGAGAGAGAGAGAGAGAGAGAGAGAGAGAGAGAGAGAGAGAGAGAGAGAGA